AATTTATATATATATATATATATATATATATATATATATATATATATCACTAACTTAGGCGTATAAATATTGTTGATCTTAGAGCAGTGGCGGCACTACGCCCCTCCCCCACCCATTGTCGCTACGGCACATCGCATTTTACCAACGGTTTATTATTTAAAAAAAAATAAATTTACGATTATAGAAGCTGTCATCGATGATCTTGCTGCACTTGTCAAGCCATGTCGTAACCTTCCTCCCTGGTTTGTTTAAAGCACTATCGAAAAAAATTTCATCGTGCTACAAAAATTTGATTTAGAATTAATGCTTAAAAATTGACGTTGCATGTTTCCCTTGCATAGTAAAATATATGACGCATCAGTTATTAATTATACAACTAAATATTCTCTGTAACAAAATAGAAAAACCAACACATTTTATCGGTACCTTATTTGCAGTAGGCGTAACTATATAATACCCTCTATAATACAGTAAGCTATTACTGCTGTACAATAATAATATGTTGAAAATTGAAGAAGAATAAGGACACTAATATAAGAACATTTTGATTCTGAAATTGACAAAAAAATATCACTGAGCCTCCCTGGGCAAAATTTGCTGGTTCTTATAAAAAAAAAAATAAATAAATAAATAAAAAAAAAGAAGAAGAAAGTGTATCTGGTTTCATTAATATTTCCTTTTTCTGTCATACTGTATTTTGATTTCTTGTGGAGGGGAGCAATGAGCGTTTTCCCTTTGGCTTTAATTCGACAGTCTGGTAACGTCATCAAGAATAACCTGTGCGCCATAACTGTGACTTGTTACAATGTCTTGTTGTATAATATCGATTTACCAGATTATAGTTCTTGCTGTCAATAAAGTTTGAAGTCATTGGAACTATTGTGCGTGACGAAATATGTGTGTATGCATGCTCCTGTGAACCCATACCAACCGATGACACACCTGTTTAGAGATGACGACATACTCGCGAACGATGACGTCGCCAGTTCTCAAAATAGCTTTAAACAGTGAGAGCTCCCTCTATAT